CCCCCGCCCCACAAGGATTAAAAACAGGCCTACCTGAGATCGGACTGAGCACGCTGCCCTGCTTCATCATGGCCCCGAAGACGAACCACACGCACTGGTCCAGGGGGAAGGTCCGGGTAAGCGTGGGGTCCCCCCGGCACAGGCGCACCCGCAGGAGGATGATCAGGTAGATGAGGGGCCCCATTATGCCCATCATGGCCAGGATCCAGAGCCACACCTGGGGGGGGGGGAGGCAGGGGGGAAGCTCTCGATATCGATGATGGTAACGATAATGCAAATAATTATGATGATGATAATGATAACGCAAGCAATAATGATAATGATAGCGATAACGATAATGCAAAAATAATGATAATGATAGAGATAACGATGGCAGTGGTGATGAGAGCGATAACGAAAACGCAAATGATTATGATGAGGGTGATAATGAAAGCGATAACGATAACGCAAAGGGTAAATGATAATATCAATGAAAATAAATTCCCATTTTCTATCTGAGTATTCAAAGCAGTAAAGGAGAAACATATGAAATGACAATTAGTGGGAAGACATAACCGAAAAGATAAGCACCAACGATAGTAAAGGAAGAAGCAGCTACGATTAATAACAAGGACAAATAACCACAACTACGAAGGGGGTTAAACCGCAACGTTTCGGATAAAAAAGGAGTCTCCTCTTCAGGTTCGAGAGGCCTTCGTGTAGTGTCTGGTGGCTGAGTTTGATTTAAATTCTGTGCTAAGAAGGCTGTGTTTGTGGTCATCGTGACACTTTGCCGGTTATCCCCCCCCCCCGAGTCTTACAAACCGAAGGAAAGGAGAATCTTTAACGTCCCCATTTTTTGTATATGTTTGTGTGAGTGATTTTGCATACATTTATGCAACACGCACACACATGTGCATATACAAACAGACATAAACATTCAAATATGTCTAAGTGAAGCTGTATCCTACTCCTAAAAAAAAGAAAGAAAGACAACTCAGTATTCTCATTCTTTCAAAAGAGAGAGAGAGGGAGAGAAAGAGAGAGAGATAGCGAGAGAGAGAGAAAGAGAAGGAGATATAGCGAGAGAGAGAGAGAGAGAGGGAGAGATAGATAGATAGATAGATAGATAGATAGAGAGAGAGAGAGAGAGAGAGAGAGAGAGAGA